TTTGAATCAAAGAGATTCATTTTTTGATAAACTCGTGATTTCTCAAGCATTTTTCACTTGTATATATATATATATATGTATATATTTATATATATTTTTATTTATTTATATGTATTTGATGTGCAGGGATTTTCAAAAGTTCAAATTTTGGTTCAATGTGGACGTTTTGTAGTGGATTTAACATCATGATCCCTTTTCTAGTTTCATTTTAAACCTTTGCGGAATGTAGGAAAATGATCAATGCACAGCGGATGTGACACATATTGATTTTAATTTTGAATCAAGTAATGCTCCCTCTCTGTCTCTACAAAGAAAGGAAAGTCGATGCTCCGTCATAGCGCCCCAGCCCACTCCGAACGTTGGCTCAAGAGCTCCCTGTGCTTCCTTCCAAGACATGCTGGAAAGAGAGGGAAGGAGGTGACAAGAGAGGGAAGCTCAGCAGCTCTGCTATAGGTTGCCACTTCATTTCTCTGTTCTCTGTATACAGTAAAATATCGTTACAACAAACTTTTGGGGACTGCAGAAAAAGTTTGTTGTAACGGATAATTTGTTGTAATGAGATTTTCAATATTAATGACTGGAAAAAATGTTTCAGCTCAGATCTGCATACAGTGGTACCCCACTCTACAAACCCCCTGAAGAGCAAATGTTCCACATAACAAACTTTTTTGTGCAAAAATCCACCATTTTAACCCTGCAGAATGAACAAATTTCACATTATGCATGTTTTTTTAATAAAAAATTTGAAAAATTCAAAAATTTTGGAAAATTTCTATTATTGCTATGAAAAAGTGAAAAAAATTAAAAAAATCATATACAATATTAATATTTGATGGGGAAGAAAAGAATGTTATTTAACACAAGAGGTCTTGGAAACAAACCCGAGTATTTCCTGGATAACACATGTTTTTTAATAAAAAATTTGAAAAAATTCAAAAATTTTGGAAAATTTCTATTATTGCTATGAAAAAGTGAAAAAAATTACAAAAATCATATACAATATTAATATTTGATGGGGAAGAAAAGAATGTTATTTAACACAAAATTATTTTAAAATCAGCAATCCCAAAAATGCATTAAAAAATCCAGCTGGATCCTGTGCCTCTGTCTGAGGACTATTTTCTTCATCAGATTGAAATTTATTAAAACAGTGCATCTAAGGGGATTCTGCTAAAAAAACAGTTTTAAAATTAGGCATTAATTTAAATTTCTAGAGAGAGTAGATTGCAGGTTTAAAAAATATTTGTTTCCAGTGACTTTTGCTCACAATAAATCCTTGAAGATGGATTTCACTTCAAGCTTAAACCTGAACTCCATTTGCAGAGAATTTTTGCTGTGAGAAAAACTTTCTTAGATGAAATGTGAACAAAATTGTGGATTGATGATTTAAACCTGTGAATTTGTGTTTAAATAAGGTTTAAATCACAAATTAATGATTTAAACCTGTGAATTTGTGTTTAAAGGTTTAAAGCACAAATTCACAGGTTTACATCATCAATCCACAATTTTGATTACATTTCATCTAAGGAAGTTATGCTCACAGCAAAAATTCTCTGCAAATGGATTCGGCTTTGAGCATAACCCCTGCAATTCAAATTTTAATTTTCAGGTTTGAACCACAAATCCACTGGTTGAAATCATCAATGCACACATTTTTCAACATTGCATCTAGGGAACTTATGGAATACAGATGAAACTTCAATTTTGAAGACAATTTTCATCTCAATATTTTTTGGAAATTTGAATTGCAGGCTTTAAAAATTATTCTGAGGCAGTTATGATCATAGCAGAAAATCTTTTCAAATGAGGGTTGCTTTGAGCATTACCTCTTAGATTTTAGGCGGGTCATCTTTCATTATCCATTATGTGGACTCACACAAAAATCCCATGAAATTTTGCAAAAATATATGGAAGAAAAATTGGCATGACTGCAGGGTTTCACAATGATTTCAAGCTAAACAATTAATTATTTTTTACTTGAATTTTGTAATTTTATGATTTTTCATTTTAAAGAAGACAAATTGACACATTTTTGCACAGACAGGTAAGGCAAATATCCTGGCAGATAATTTTCAATGATTTTTTTCACCCTGTAAATACAGCTGATCATCATTACTGTAAAGACTCTCAGCAAAATAAGCAAGTGATGGAAAAAATGCTCAAAAGTGGAAAAACATACAATTTAAAATGACCATTAATTTGTGTGGCCACATTATGTGATCACTAATTTTCACCAGAAATGTTTTCACACAATTCTAACCATACCACAGCATCAATAACTGCTGAAGAGTAAAAAACTTCACTGTTTAAAAAAAAAGGTGTTGCACAGTCCCAGGATGGACTGGAAACTCTTGAACAATTAATGGTGCATGCATTTAAAAAATCCTTTTGGAGGGCACCTTCATTTTAATTCTATGAAAGATGAAGCTGAAGAACTGCTCCCGAACATGATGTTTGGTTGAATTCTGTGGACTTGTGGGTTCATTGTTTGGTTTGTTAGATTGCAAGAAATGCATCCTACAGAAGTCAGTTAGCAAGATTGCTATGAGCTGGTTCTTCTGTTTGATCATCATTTCTTTACATCCACTTGAAATGGCAGCAATTCTATGAACCCCCAGGCATCCAAACAATTCTACACTTCTGGCAACTGACTTTTTGCTGGGTTCCTGGGAAGTTTTTTTCTTTTTTTGGCAGGCAGAAAAAGCCTCTCTCCTGGGTGGATCCCATCCAGATTTTTAAGCATTTCTTCTCCTTCATCAAAGCCTCCATTTATTCAGGCTTTAATGATGAGTGAAAAAAATTTCCAAATTATTTTTAGCAATTTTCCACAAAAATGAAAAAGTTTCCTCAAAAAAGTTTGTTATAACAGAATTACCAAGTTTGTTATAACAAGATTTTTTTAACATGTGGTCTATTCCTCATGTGGTCTATTATTTTTCAAGTCCTGGCAGAAAGCCTATATATAGGCTTTCTGCCAGGACTTGAAAAAAAGTTTGTTGTAATGAAAAATTTGTTGTAACCATATTTGTTGTAACAAGATTTTACTGTACAGCCAAATAATCAATTAAAATCCCTACACATCCAGTTCATGGGTGCAGGTCGATTGAGGGCCCGCGGGGACAGTGTCCCAAGGGTTTCCCGCAAGTGGCTAACACAGACCGGAATTTGTTCAAATGTTCGTCATTGGTGGGGCCTGCAGTCATCAGCTAGCAGTACGAGCAACAGTGCAAACCCTGTGGACCATCACCTTCCGCCCTAAGTAGTGATCACAAGCAACGGCGGCTTCCATTGGCACTGCACCAGTTGCATGGACGCGGGATGCATGCGGTGTGGGACAGCGACTCGGAGGACTGGGTGTTCAACCTGGAGATGGACGTGCCATGCCATTTTTGCCTTCGGTGGTGATTCCATCAATCCATCATTTACACTGTATTTTTTTTATTTAAGCCCCCTTTCTTCTGTAACATTCGTATACTGTATTTTATATCTTCCCCAACTTCAATCATCCCAGCATGAGAAGAGTTGCTCGTCATCAGCGGCATGACCTGCACGAGCGCCCACATCATGCAGCGCGCGGCCAAGTTCAACGCAACAACGAGAAAGTGGCACCAACTCCATCCACTGCCATATGGACTCACCGGGCATGCCGCCGTCCTTCTGCCACAAATTGCCCCGCTGCGTCGCAGGTGCGAGCCATCCCATTAAGGCATGAAATACACACTTTTCCGTTCTCCAATTGCGATCGCAATCACCTTTATTCCTTCACGTTCCACAGCGTAGATCTTCAAGAGAACTAAGGTAGGTGCTGGTCGCGAACAAGAAAACGCGAACAAAATTCCAGTCCACTCATGCAATGATAAAAAAAGTCATTTCGGCAGCGCAAGAAACGATGCCCTCAGGAAGCTCAAGATTATTTCGTGCAACAAATGGAAAACTAAGAAAATACTGCACAGAAGTGTACTACTTTTTTCTCTTTCAAAAAGTCCCCCCCTCCTTTCAAGAGCCCGGCTAACTGACAAAAGGATTCACTATGCAGTACTGTACGTTGTACGAATCAAAATTTGATAGACTCAAGACAGCGTCCAATCAAAAAATAATAAGGCCCTCCAAACATTACTACCAACGCCTGTCCTTGAAATGAGAACGAACCGATCATGAGTCCTTCCAATGTCCAAGAAATTATCGATAACATCGACGGAGATGTCATTCGCCTTTGATAAAATGAAGTAAAAAGTCCTATCCACAGCCGCTCGCTTCAAATATTCCAGATACATCATCTTCGGATTCAAGTCATTCTCTGGAAGAAGGGATTTCGGAGTTAATGTCAACTCGCATGCCCTCGCTTCTCCAAATGGCAGGCAGTCAAGAGTCATCAGTTACGATCTAGTCGTGAATATACAGAACGCGTTGACTGGCGCCATACACTGCACGCCAATGTTGCCGCTACAATGGAAACTACTGCGAGTATTCCGGCCAGGAAAACAGCTGCGTTGTGAAAATCAGAAAAGCACCTTTCGTCAATGACTCAGAAGAAAATCGCACATCCGTGCGAAATCAGTGATACGCACCGAAGAAGGCATCCCGGGTGATTTCCAGTGACATCTCCAGCACGCATTCTTTCTTCCAACGCTCCTCAGAAATTTGCACTGTTTTCGTTAGACGGTCGAATTCAACCAAAGGACATAGCTCTTCACAGCCAGGAAGTTTGAGAACGTGGACACCGGTGCTGTTTCTGATGATCATCTGAGAAATGGACACGAAGAAACCAGAGATGACTCGTCGAAGGATTTCAACAACAGAATTGCTGACATTGAATTCAAGGTGAAAGATGACGATAGACGATCAGCACTCACTTTGACGAAATACGGGTCACCCCCAGCTTCGGTCACGTTTCCTCTCCGCAGCTCCACCATTACTGTGGACGCGTAAGATGGCAGCTGCGGCGGGAACAAGTCCAAGGCACCCAAAAACATGGCGATCGTTATGTCGTGAGCGGAGAACACCTCCACCTTCCGTAACTCGCGGAACGACGAGTCAAACGTCGCCAATTCCCGCAAGTCAAATCTGAGAAACGTCATCACAAATAATTCTCCGATTACAACTTCTCGTATTCCTTTCCATTAAGTTCCATTTTCGCCGTTGTTCCAATCATTTTGGGAAAGGAGGGGCTTCCCAAAAAGTGTAGCAAATGAATCCAACTCTTCAACAACAAATTAACGTGCAGTAGGATCTCTTCACAACGAAGCGTTTGGGAGGTTGAAAAAAGCTTTCTCATAAACGAAAAATCTTTGAAACTAAATTAAAATTAAATTGTAGCTACTGGACAGGGACAAAAAAAATCTAATTTACAATCTCAATCCTGCTCGAATGAAAAAAAAAATCGTGAACCAATCAAAACCGGGATGAAAAAGTGTTTATTTTACGCTTACAATAATGTTCTATGACTTCCTTGGTACTTCATCAGTCTTAGAAACCACACATTTTTCATCGTAAAATTTTAATGCAGCCCAAAAGAAAGAAAATAATGAACAACTTCCTCAAAATCTGTGTTCATGCTCACAACGGGTCAACATCACTTCAAGATGATTGTTGTTACAAGAACAGGGACAATATCTTCATTAAACGTTTTCATTTTATAATTGGAGGAGTACCCCTCCCCCAAGATATGAAGCAAAATCGATCATGTACAGTATCAGTGTATCTTACCCGACACCCTCACCACGTCCGATTTTCTTCTTCATGTTCTCCACCATGAGTGCAACAAGCGGACCTCCCCGGAATTTCCGCAGAGTCGGTGACAGGGTGATGATTGAGAAGGAGAATGCAGCCAACGGTCTGAGCTTTTCGGGATACACTGACTTTGTCCAGTTTGGCAGCGTAAAATTATTCCCTTCCTGAAAGAATCAACTAACCGTCAGTCAGGTAGAAATTCCTCATTGAAGGCGAACTGCACAATAAAATGCACCTCTATGAATAGCGTATCATAAATCTGATCACTGAGTGCAATCACGTCATGCGTTTCATCTCCGGAGTGCAACTTGAGATACTCCAGAAGATCCTCATTTTCATTCCGCACTTTCTGAACGGCAGCTGAATTTCTCACTTGCAACAACTCCGCGTCTGCCGTCGGACACGCTGCATCGCTTCGTAAAAACTTCGAAAAGAAAAAAAAAAAAATGAAAAGAAATAAACGAACGGGTCACGCTGCGTTGTCCTTCGGCGTCAAATCGAATCAAACAAATGTACCAAATCTTCGTCTGCAGGTCTCGTGTGAACAGGGATCGGCTGCCACATGAGGTTTGGGTTCCACCTGTCGGTACCCACGGGTGGAAAAAGCCCGAGAAGGTTGCACTGCGCACTCATCAATGTGCGGTCGACATTTGAGCTTTGGATGTGGATTTGCGCAGGGTCGTATTCAGCACCAATGAAGCCGTCATATCGCTGTCGAAGCCATTGCCCCAACTCGTAATGACGCCATTTGCCAGCCTAAAGCAGAAGGAAATATGATCAACGAAGGGGGTGGCCGGCAAAGACGTCTTGACGGAGTGTGAAATGACGGAGAAAACAAAACTCCCCCTTTCAATAAACAGTATGTAACACATAGCATCTTTCGTTTTCGAATAATGTACTTTCACTGACTGTTCATTACCAGGAACACGTACATTCATTCACTCATTTCGGAAGCAGTTGGCGAGGTTATCAGTCATTATGAAACTACGACGTAATGGATATTTAAAAACAGTGGGAAGACAAATCGACTCCCTTATTAGCAGGCAATTTGATAAAAATACTGTCCTCACATTCAATAATTGTCCAGGACGAACAGGCCAGTGATCCATACTTTTGTACGGATCATTCGGGTAAAATCCAACAGGTGTGCGTTCGCCATGACGGTACAACTGCAAGAAGAATTACAGTACTGTAATTCAAATATGTAAAACCAATTCCAAGCTCTTCGTATGGTATTTGGTCAAATAAATATCCATTAGTTTAGATCGTGGATCCATCAATCAGATCAACGGGTTACGTTACGCAAGAAGTCAGACGAAACGGATTTTAAAATTGCAAGAACGAAGAAAAACTGGGTTTAAAGGAATGCACATTACGACGGCTAGCACACTCACAAGCTGAAGAAAAAGGAGCTCGCCTTCCTCGTCCAGCGCACCAAAGGTAGTTCCAACAAGCCACGAAAGCCCGAATATGAAAAAAAAATTGCTCGTTCGCACCATTGCGCAGTATATGCTCAACTCTGACACGAGAAGGAAAACCTCCCTCCCGCAACTAAGTCACTCAGACAGAAAACTGGGGCATCGAGAGATGAACGCACAGTGCCCGAGACAGCGACAGAAAAGACCCAATTCGACGTAATGTCTGCGCGCAGAGACAAACGTTATAGCGACTGGCAAAGTGCAAGATGAACACTAGCCATCTCACATGGCACTTGCAATATGAGTATGCATCACACACCACCGAACTCTAGCTAGCTTCTGCCACGTCCGGTGAGTGAAGTTCCGTCTGACTCAAGAACTCACCAGGCGCCCCTGAAGGACGTGTTTACCGGAAAAGCTTGAAATGGGTCACCTTTACCGTGCCGTAATTCTACCCTTACTGACATACATTTCGTCAAGACATCAAATACATGATCAAATACACAACCGGATCAAATCCCGCCAAGAAATGGTAACAAACACCTCGGAAATGACATCACCTAGAACGGGGCACTGGTTTGAGATATAATGTACCATTTGAAATTCCCATGTTCCACCAAAAACGTAATAGAAATCAGAATCGTGATCAAGTCAAACAAAATTAAGGAATACCTGTTCCTACTGGTCAAAATGATGCACAAAACGTCATTTGTGAAGTTATCATTGAATCTGAAAGTGGCCCATCAACGAAAGCAAGCAACAATGAACAACATTGTCAGGCACAAAACACCCTTCCGTTTCTCTGTGAAAATTGCCGACTCAAAGGCTTAACATATGGTTTCCTACTTCTAAGTTTCATTTCATGAACAGAAAATGAATCATGGCAGGATTCAAACGTTTTCAAACTTGTACTGTACATCGAAGCGTCATTTTCATTTCACGCACGGGACGTATCATCACAGTCGATGGCTTTCAACACAGTAGATGTATCAGAGAAATTTTAACCAACAAAAAATTTCCCAGATGCTGTAAATTCAAAAGCAACAATAGCAGTCGAAAAAGTCAAGAGGTACTGAAATCCTGAAAAAAAGACTTTCAAACTCCACGCCTGAAGAATTCAGGCTAGCGCAGTGTTTTCCGAGTAGAAATGGGCAAAGCGGCAAAACCGCATCCGGAATAGCGCATCAAACCAACAGGAAGAACAATCACTACCTCTAATATACCAAACGTCAACACTGGAGAAGAGGAAAATCATGATCCGCACGGGATAAGTGCTGAAATTTGCGAACGTTGAAAACTCACGCCAAATCAGAGGATTTTGCAGCGTTCGTCCCCAAGATTTCAGAAGAAAAACATTCTTGCTCCCAACGGCTTTTCAAAATGGGCACGGCTTTCGTATGGAGATCGAATTCGCGTAGAGAACACAGTTCATCGCAACCAAGAAACTTGAGCGGATGAAGGCCGTCAAATTCTTCAAGGGTAACTGTGGATTTCAAGTCGAATTCCAGCATACACTAAACAAGACCGACGAACGTGTGCTGAAAACGATGACTCTAGAGATCAGTAACAGTATATGGGCAAACTTTCCTGATGGACAAACTCTCGTCACGCCTTTCCCCCACAGACGCATTGCAGTTAACTCAGAACGGAAAACTCATACCCGTTAACGCTTTCTGATTATGTACTACAGTATAACACTATCTTCAGCAAATCAGTTCTGAATTTTCAGTTTCAACAAATTCGAGGTCTTACACCTTGCTGAACAACGGAGATGCCATCACAACCTTCACCACATGAGGATCCATATCCGGCAGCGATTGTTTTTTTTTCCGGAGCTCAACCATCACAGTGGTAGCATACGACGGTACTGTATTTGAGGATCAAACACGTTGAGAGACCCCAAGAACATGGCTATAGAGATGTCGAGGGCGGAGAAAACTTCCATCCTCCTCAACTTCTCGAATGATACATCGTACGAGGGGCAGCTCTTCCGCATCAACCCTAGTTACGTAAATCACGCTATGTGCAAATTTAAAAGGGTATCTGGTGGGACTAATGATCGGACGAATGCTGGCGAACTATTTCCGTCGATGGAGGGAGTACAATACAGTACTGTATATCACACCAAGTACCCAACGCCTTTCCCTCTACCCGCTTTCTGCTTCATGTTCTCGACCATGAAGGTCACCAAAGGTCCGCCACGGAGGCGACGCAACTTGGGAGTAAGTGAACTGACGGTAAAGGAAATCGCCGCAAACGGTTGCAATCGTTCATGGAAGACAGCCGCTGTCCAATCAGGGTGGGTAAAGTTGAAGCTTTCCTAGGACGAGCAAAATCGTCAGTTCAGAAAACTCCTGCTAGGTGAAAAGAATACAAGCAGCACCTCGATGAACAGGGCGTCGTAGATATCGTATGCAAAGTGGATCACGTCATCCGAGGTTGAGCCAGAATGCCATCTCAAGTATTCAAAGAGTTCTTCGTGGGCTTCTTGCACGTCGCGGATATAATCAAGATTTCATCACAATCTCCCGTTGTGCTTCAGCCATTGGACATGAAGCATCGTCCTTCAAATACGAACAAGATTTAATCTTTAATGAAACTTTCCTTCTACCGCCTTACGAGGATAGAGTACAATACTCACGCGAATATGAAACTCAATCGATCAATTTCTGAATTCACCCCAATTCATAAACCCCTTGAACAGCAATCGCAAGTGTAGAGGCATTGCATTTCACTACCAATCAAGTCATTATCTACGGTAATTCATCCAAGGTGGAAAAAAAGGAAACAAACTTTGGAAACGGTATTCTCAAACCGAATGAATTAAAATGATGAACAGCAAATGAAAGGCTTTGCATAATTTTCTTTCAAGCCAATAGAGTACGTGACAACCATGTGTGAACGAAAATTGACACAATCAGCATCCGCAAAATGGTTCGATCCATTTCCCGTTTGTACGTTGAATTGCCTCGTTTCCTGTTTCTGGTTGAGATCATGCTTCAAGCTTAGTGTCAGTGATAGAAAGAAGTTGGCATCCGCTGATAACATAACTTCAACGCCTGCATGTTTTAGGGAATACCCCGTAGACCCAAACCAGCCCTCCACATTCAAATTCAGAATGTCATAAACCTGAGGACTTGCCCTATTGTAGTTTTTAGGCTAGTTAACACTTCAAAAAAGTTAATATCAACATTTTTCCCTCTTCATGAGGTAGATTACTACAGTACGAAAACTGAGAGGCTGAAGGAAATTTACCATATTTTCATTCGTGGGTCAGGAGTGGACGAGAATAGGTTTTCGGACCGAATCAAGGTCCCAATTTTCATCGTCACCAAGAGGAAACATTCCGGCCAAATTGCACTGTGCACTCATGAGAGTCCTGTCAACATTAGTACTTTTGGTGTGCACCTCCGCGGGATCATATTTCTTTCCCAGGAACCCAGCATAACGCTCACGCAGCCATTTTCCCAGCTGGAAGTGCCGCAATTTACCAGTCTGAATGTAAGAAGATGCACAATAAAGATCAGTGAGTTCAGCTGCACGACTGAAAAACGAGAATTATTCACGCTCAGAAGCTGTCCGGATCGGACTGGCCGGAGTTTGTCGCATTTGTGAGGGTCCGTTGGATAAAAGCTGATAGGAGTCCTGTCGCCATGCCCGTACAACTGCAAAGCAAAAAAGAAATTATATTCCTTGATTTGTTGATTACCCCACAAAACCTTACCAACTGAACAAAACCCAATTCGACTTCGTCATAAGAACAATGACACTATCCAGTAAGCGCAAAAATTTGCAGTAACAAAAAGGATTTCGACAGGATCATGGGTTTCAGACTACACGGTGTACCAACTCCTGAACACCAATAGTCCCTGCTAAACAACAAGTACTGAACTCAGAATAATTGCTGAAAGAGTATTGCACTGCGCACGAGAAAAAAAATTTAATCAATATACAGTATTACAAATAAACGCACGAGTTGAGAACAAGGCAAATTCGTATGGGTACTCTTCATCACAATGATCACGAGCAAAGCACAAAGACCGTTAAGAAAGATTACCATCACACAAATCCTTATCCCAATATCCTTAAAAATAAAACCGACATATCCAGAAACTATGTCAGTTGGAATTTGCTTGAACACAGGCTACGGCTTCATTCAACGAATGCACGAGGGATTCTAAATCTTGAACGGAACATTCCAGCCTTTGCGTAGAAGGTGCATCTTCTGAAATCGATGTGAACTCCAATGAGAAGGAAGGGTGCTTCTGCTTGCCAACAATGGAGTCCTGCAATATACCGAAATTCAACGGGAGTCGAGATTAGGATGAAGGAATTCAAAAAGCTTTCCTGGTAAGCAAGAGCATGCACTCACTCCAAGAGTTATACTGTAACGCCATTCGCAGTCGACCAGTTCTGGGTAATGGGGTCTCAGAACTGGGTTAGAACATCCCCACCGTTCAACCAAAGGAAGGAAAAGGCTTGTTGAAATCATCCGCTTTCGGCCGGAAGGATCATCGGGAGACAAAGCTGTTTTCAGAAATCCTTCACCGGCTCCAGATTTAACAGCGTCAGCAACGCTTGCAGCCAAGAGAAAACCGTTCGGAGATGATTTAGGGTTTGTCATGTTATCTAAAACCACATTCGGAAGATGAAGTTTCAAGAGAATGATTCGACCAAGAGAGAAAAATTAAGCTTTTTTCTGATTACTTGCCAACTGAGAAATCACACAAGGCCATCTTCCGGAGAATCTCTTCAGCTTCGCTGATGTACAACTTGAAGTCATTGTCGGAAACATTATCAGCATTCAACAAATTCACAATGCAATCACTTCTAGTGTCAGTCATGCTTATTATTACCCTTCCCTGAAATATGGGGGGGAAATGAATTTCAATGATTTCAATGCGTTACCACACCACCAGAAGGTAAAAATTGACTTGAACACTGAGTTTTTCCGTAACGTCACAAATACTCCAGAAATTGGGTGCACTTGCTCATCATTATCTTGATGGCCTCGCAAACAAGCGTTTCGGGTTTTTGGGCACCGAAAGATTCCACGTGAACTGCGAAGAAAAAAACCCCGTAAGTCCTGGAATAATGAACGAACACAGAACAATGATGAAATCAATTGAGCATTATCAACAATAGCAAAACTTCAAGCCGCCCTGAAACTTGAGGAAGTCAACAAACGATTCATGTACAAGAGGAAGGAAGAAAACCCTTGGAGAGAAGTAACTCACATATGAAGTGATCCAGAATTTTGCCCATTTCCACAGAGTTTTTCAAGTCTTCGTGAAAGAAAACATTGCGACTGTTCGAGTCGTACCGCGCATCGCTCACTTTTGCCACAGACACTCCTTCGAAGGTAAGAAAAAAATTCACTTTCCGGCAGGGCAAAACAGTGAAGAAAACACCGAGTATCTTCACCTTTTTCATTCGTTTCAACACTTATGACTCCGGGGGAAAAGCATTTCTGGAGGCGATAGGCTCTTTCTCCTTCGATTTTCTCCTTGAGCCGTATTTCCGGTAGAAGTCGATACCACACTGTGGCTGCAACCAAGCAATCGAAATGCCAACAAAAAAAGCATGATTTAACCAGGGAAACGTACACCGACTATCATGTAGGAGTGATCATTTGCGAGGAAATGAAGATGAATGCAAGACAAAAATGTATGTAGAAGTGTTAACCTGGCATGAATTTCGCATGGTCCTTCCCAACACCCTTCCAGGCCACCATTTTCAAATCGATTTCGTGTCCTGGCCTCAGCTTAGCAATGACTACATCATTCTCCACAGGGCCCACGTCCTCCGGCTTGAGCATGTCGCTTTGCAGTCCAATTGGTAGCCACTTGACGTCCGACGTTTTCACTAAAGTTACATTTTGAACAAAATGCAGCGTAACAACGTTACTCAACAAAGACGGTTTTGGACTCGGAAGTACACACCGATGTGATTCAGATATATATCGTCCGGATCTGTCATATCCTTCGTTGCTTTCGGATTCAAACTACACTTGATTTTCAGTTCGAACTCCAATGAGTCGTTCTCGTTCACCTCAATTTGGTCACCTTCGAAAATACGATTAAGAAAAAGATGTTACACCGTTCGAAAATTCAATCCAAAAAAAAAATAAACTCACTATCTGGAGGTGGAGGAACTTTGGTTTGAAAAAACTTCGGATCAGCTTTAAGTGGAAGAAGCCCTAGGCGATGAGCAAGGACTTCATCTTGAATGACAGAGGAATTCTGCATGATGATCACTTTTTCAACCGCCATACTGGGAACCTGGAATTTTACGGAATTGAAGTATTGTATTGTACCATACTGTACGCTAATATTCAGCCAGGCGTTCTCAGACTTCCTCTGTTTAGTAATGATTTTTTGCCGATGTTTGAAGAGGACTTTCATTCAATTAGTATCAACTTACTTTTTTCAGAAATGATATTTTGTTGTCAATTCTGAATCTTTATTCAACTCACGGACACTTGAGACCCAAAAAGCTGCCAACGCATAAGGACTACGTCTCAAGATACGGATACAAGGCCAATATTTTCCACAAAAAATTCCAACATTTTCATTTTCAACATTTGATATCTCTTGAACAAATCGAGCTACTCTTATTCAAAAAATTAGAACTAAAGAGTAAAGATTATAAATTGACTAATTTATAATCAAAAACAAGCTAATTTTGTGCATCTGTTCAAAGCATAGCATGAGTTGGGCTTCTTCTTTGCTTTTCGGGTTCTTCTTATATAAAATGATTGGATTTTGCGCGGTTTTCTTTCGTACAGTTACTTCCTATATCTTGAAGTTGAAAAATAATATTTGAGTCAATTTTTGGGGAATTCTATCTTAAATTTTCCATGAAAAGGAGAACCAATTAAATATATTCCCATCAGAGTCTATCATAGAACATGATCCGAAATGAGGACGCTTCAACACGGGGACAAGGTCCAAGCACCGATTACTTTCACATCCGCATCCTCGGGCCGCAGTGTACATTGAAAATAAACATGCCATAATGTGTGAACAGAACAAGAAACGACTGATAATTCAAAGCTCATCACAAGAAAGTAAAAAACTCAGGATAATGAGCCGTGAATCCCGGGGTCTGCAAGTTGACGATGGGCAACTACTGATTTCCATCAATCTTCAGTTCCTTAACTTCCTTTTTCACCCATTCACAAAATCGAGCAGTTTCCAAATTTCTACGTATATGAGACCGACACATTTGCTTTTTTTTAACACTCTTTCCTTTCGATTCAATTCAAACTATCAAGCGCCTTTGACATACCCAGGTTGGATAATAACATGCCCATTGCTCCTAATTACCTAATCCTCCGCTCTCTTCTAATCAGAGATGAACTATACGAACTACGCGCAATTACCTCGGACATCATCACGCGTCGAATGGCATTGGAGATGGAAGCGTCAAGTCCAATGAGATCAAACTCCATCTCTTGATCAGTCTTCGAAACGATTCTCACGTCGAACTTAGACTTGAAGTTATTCAACTCCCATCTTCCCGAAACCCCCTCAACATCGCCAACAGCGTCCGCATTCGAAGTGTGCAGAACACCAGTTTCCTCCAATATTAACCACTTGCTTCTACTTCGCTGACTCATGTTTTTTTTAAATTAATACGATTCTCAAAACCCTGAAACAAACGGAATGACGTATTCCAAAATTCCGGATGTTATGTTGAATGCATAAAAAGGGAAAAATACAGTGCGCTAATTCCCTCACACTTGTAATAAAATAAAACAAATGATACATCACGCTCCACGAAAACACAGTAGGCATGGGACGAATTACCGATGAACATGAACATTTCAATGATTACGCCAACATTAGAATTTAAATAGAAAATACAGTAGTGAGTATATCACATCGTTTCAACCACACGACTATCGAGTCTGAACGGAACATCGGTGACGCCATTTCCCACTTGAATACTTGCTGAAGCTGCCAGACGTCCTTCTGAAATGTAACGATTCTTGAAGTAAAGCGCAACAATTCGACACTTTTCACCGCTGATTTTCAATTTTGTATGCATCGCAGTCAAACTCCCCTCAGAAAATTCCATGTCCCTTTCTAACTTGCGCAGTTTCAAGCAACAGGCGACAATTTTCAGTGCTTCCAAAACCCGCGTCTCCTTGACCATCTTCTTGCGCAGGTCCAACGCCGCTGCCTGACGGAAAACTTGACTCATAATATGGAGAATACGAGCAGTTTTCCACGAAAAAAGCTCATGACACAACAGTGCATGTGATAGTCGCGAAATGCACCTCATTACTTCGTTACACTGTGATCAATTCTTTCACCGTTATTTCATCTAATACAGTACTGTAACCATATCCACAAGTTTTCAATTTTTTCAGCAGTGAGACCACACAGCTCTAGCACGTAAAATGACTTCCTTCGTAATACAAAATAACTTTGATGGGTGAAGATAATGCACGCCATAGTAAAGGAATCGAACTCACCGACGTTTCTTCTTCCAGGTCTTGGAAGAAAGCTATCTTTTTAGATTGTTTCATGTCTTCAGCGAATACATTCGCCATGCTTTCTCGAACTGATTCTAAAGCTTTCCGAGTAGTTGAAGACAAAATTTCGTCGGAAATTGTAACTGGTGAAACGGATTCTGGAGGCACAACAGTTGACAGAATTTCCGCTGCTTTGAGAACGCCTTCAAGATGAGTTTGCATTTCAGGCATGAGTCTCAGCGCGTTTTCTGCTTCCCTCGAAACTGACTTGAGATACGCTTGTCGCGCGCGGGTTCTTTTCTCCACGTCCGGCGCGAACTCGTTCCGCATTTTAGTGTAGCTACATGGCGCATGAAAATACAGCACGTTGAAATTATGGTGAGCATTTTCGCGAAAACACAAAATAGACGCCGCGTAAAATGAGATTCGATTCTCGTCATAAACATACAAGATCTTACCGATAGTTCAGAAGAAGTTTCATGTCAAGGAGGAGATCAGTACCACGACAATGTAGAGCTTCGCGTTTCATCCTCACAAGGAGTAAGTCAGAGAAACTCATCGCCAATACTGTCAATGCATGCATGCCGCGCTGGACGATAAAGCGTTGGAAAACGAGTTCATCATCCGCTTCTGAAATCCGGCTGCACAGATCCAACCGCGTGAGTCCATCGTCGTCATCTTCTGAGCAGAACCCAATGCAACCACACGGTAAAACACCACCGCTTTCAGGGAATGCATGGTAAAATTTTTCCAACTTCGATGACATTGCACACCACTTCACAATCTGGAAAGCTGATAGAATGAATAGGTCAGGAACCTTCGATGATCACAGAAACTAGAACCAGTATCTAGAGCTAGACCTACACGTTTGTTCAACAGGCATGAGAATTCCGCATTTGCACGGAAATTCTTCACAAACCACGTACAAAACTATACCCTTGAATTTGACCATGGCCTTCATAACTCGAAAAAATCTGCACAACACTCAACAAACAAAAACAAAACGAATTTGCCCCATTGCACAATCATAAAAAAACATAAAAAAGGATTTTAATACAATTTTACTCATTTTTTCAGTTACATGGCAACACTGGCAGTATGAAAATCTGGCAGAATTTCCTTTGTTTAAACCTTTGAAAAATTCTGAAAAACAAATCATGGAGTAGAGGAGAAAAATTAAAAAATTATTTTCAAATTCCAAAATGCCGCCAAATTTTTTTGTCCTTTGAATTTTTTTAGTGAACACATCAAATAGAAAGTGATCTATACTTGAATATACACCAATTCTATCATGCAACAAGCATATTAATTCATTCAAGTACAGTCAACCCTCAATTTAGTGCCAACACTCTCTGACATAGAGTAAGGCATTACGATGACTTACAAGAGCGACATCTGGTTATATTAGGTTTTACGAGTCACTCTTCCCAACTGCTTAGTTACACCTATCTCTAGATCAGCAGCACGATGGAGAGGAGCAACTGAGAGCAGTACAAGGAAGTCATTCTGTTCTTGGACCTCGACTTGTACAGTCCTTCTGACCTTTTAACTCTGACTTAGTGTTGTGTTGTGACGTCGTTGAAATAAACTTGTACTTCAAGCCGTGATCGAAGATTTATTCCCCGAAACTCTTACTGGGGGCTCGTCCGTTAAACTTGGACCTGTGATCGATCACGAGCTGTACCCGACGTTCACGAAAAATGAAACGCAACACCAACAATTCCAAAGCCGCGGCGGAAGCCGCGATGGGTGATGCCGAAGAATTTCATTCCGATTCCGAATCCAAGACGGGCAAAGCGGGCACTGTGTCCAAACGACCAGGCAGTGAAGCCTCCGATGCATCCAGCGTCTGGGAAAGTCTTCCAATCGCCACGTTGCAGCTCCTCGTCGACACCTATCGCCTGGGCAGACCTACCCGCAACTCCAAAGCGGAATATGCAGCGCAGCTGGACAGATTCCAAATCCCTGTCACAGCCTTACAAGCCCTGCCACGTCCCACTGGCATAGCTCCTTCTCGTGAGCTGGCAACAATCGTCGAAGACCCACAGCAGATCCCCATCCTTCCGCCGAAGTGGTTCGCCAACCTGCACAGTCCGGACCTGCCGAAGCAGAACAAGAATGAGGCCTTCGAAGACTACGTCATTTGTCTTCGCAACCTCCCGGCCGTCGACAACATCACCGAGGTACACCTGATCCGTTGCTTGCTGCAGAACACCTTGCCGCACATCCAGAGCACGGCGAACCAGCATCACAAGAGGGGGACCACCGACTTCAACCAACTCATCGAAGTGATCACCCGAAGACATCCCACGCCTCATCTGGACCGCCTCGAAACCTTCCGCTGCATGAAACCGGAGTCTGACGAGTCCTACTTCAGTTTTGCCAAACGCATGCGGGACCAGTACGAAGCATTCCTCCGCTTCCCTCCAAACCTGCTCAAAATGGGAGAGCCGTTCCTACAGCAGATCTTCATGGAGCAGCTGTTCTTCATCTCAGATGGCAGCCTGAAGGACGAACTGCAAAAGAAGTGGCTCCGGCAACCTACGATGACCTGGGACGACATGATCGAGATCGCCGAATTGTATCGACTCAACCACCACGTCTGAAGCTCATCATCGTCAGGTACCGTGAAAAACAACTTCAGACACCGATCATCGCTACCACCTCGCCAATGGTGCCAGCATCACGGTCGTTACATGCGGCACGGCAGCCACAAGTGCCGACTACGCCCCAGTTTGAATGCTACATCGCGAAACGAAAACTCAGCTTCGAGTTCCGCGGCTCCCCAGACAAATACGAATACGACGCGTTCAAATAATGACTCGGGTGCTTCTCTTTGTTTTCATTGCCAGAAACCTGGCCATTTTTTAAAAGATTGTCCGCAGATCCAGGGAAACGCCAAAACTGCACAGTGAATGCGGCGCACTGTGCTTCCTTGGAACTCTCAGCCGCACCTCCTCCTATTGTGCTTCAACTTAATATCTCCGGTCAGAATTTCTCCGCGCTCCTGGATACCGGAGCATCGCATTCATTTATATCAGCCAATCTTGTGAGTTTACTTAAATTACAGACTGATTCTTCTGAAATTGCGGTACAGACCGCTCTTGGCGATATCGCCCTTCAGGCGAATCATTCAGTACAGCTAGAATTCATATTTCATGGGACGAAGATGCACGCTCCATTTATCGTGTTGCCTAAACTCTCCGAATTTCCCCTAATTTTGGGAAGAACGACGCTCGCGCTCTTACCTCTCGCGGTTAATCTGGACAGTCAACGAATTTTTACCGGGTTTCAGGAAATTACGGCTGTTCCCGCGCGACCGACCATGCCCACAGGGCACGGCATCAATTTGGTTGACGGCACCACGGACGAAAGGGGTCAAATCGAACGTATTTTAACGCAGTACAAAGCGGTAGTGTATCAATGGTCCGGGCGCAGGGGCCTGTTTGTGGATCATGTGGCGCGGTTACCGACAATAGAGGCTGCCCCACCCGCAATGCAGCAGTACCGCCATTCTTCCGATTGGCATACGTCCTTCGCGGAATTAATAGATCTATATCTAGAAGATGGTGTCTTAGAATTAGCGGAATCGCCCTATAATTCTCCAGCTTTTTTAACAAAAAAAAATTGTAGTGATCAAACCGCCCCAGTTCATAAACGCTGGCGGCTAGTGGAGGATTATACAGCGGTGAACGAAATACTAGTTGCAGATCATTATCCGATGCCAGTGATTCAGGAATTGTTAGACGCGCTTGGTAGGAACAACCAGTACTTTTGTACGATAGACCACCATTCCGCGTTTCATCATGTCCCGTTAGCACACAAGGACAGACCTAAAACAGCTTTTACCACCCTGCGGGGACAGGTCCAGTACAAAGTTCTACCCTTTGGTTTAAAAACGGGACCCGCGATTTTTCAGAGAACGATCAATACGATCCTGCGGAAACATTTAAACCGGCGCTGTTTAGCATATATGGACAATATCATCGTCTTTGGCGAGAACTTCGGTACGCTATGCGAAAACCTTGCGGAAATCCTTAAAACCTTGCATCAAGCGGGAGCAGCCATCGACATCAAAAAGTCGAAATTTTTAGCTAAGAAACTTGTTTTTTTGGGGCACGAAATTGATCAAACTAGAACACGGCCGGCAGAAAAGAATGTCACCGCAGTACGCAACTTTCTGCGCCCGGAAACTACGCGACAAATGTTACGTTTTTTAGGCATGGCAACTTATTTGCGCGCGCATTTGCCAACCAATTTTGCTGACGCGGAAAAATTACTCCGCGGGACGATCCCAAAGAAACCGGCGGTGAAACTCGACTGGAAACCGGATTTGCTCCAGGCTTTTGACCATCTCAAAGAAGTTCTCGCGGACACAGCAAAACTCGAAAGAGTGGATCCAAAACTGCCACTCGCGGTACATTGTGACGCGTCGTCTACGAGCCTAGGGGCGGTACTGGTTCAAACCGACAAAACCGGAGCAGAACGAGTAGTGCAATATGCAAGCAGGGTATTAACCGGAGTGGAAACCCGCTATACGAATACCGAAAGGGAGTTACTCGCGGTCGTATGGAGTGTGACAAAGAAATTTCGTCATCATCTGGAACATCGCAAGTTTACGGTTAATACAGATCATAAAGCACTCCTCGGGGAGCTGAAAACAGAACGGTTGATTAGTATGCGCATGAAGTTAGCTAGTTTTGATATGCAATTAGTTTACAGACCGGGCAGCATGCTTCAGGGCCCTGACGCGCTTAGTCGAATTTCGCTAAATGCAGCAGACGCGTGCAGGATCCCCCCCACGGAGGACAGACCGGACATTATCGCAGCATACCACGAGGAGTTGGGACATGCGGGGTGGAAAAAAGTGTACCAGACCCTACGCAAACGTTTTTTTTGGCTCAAACTCAGGCAAGACGTATGGCGGCAAATCCAATCTTGTTCTTTATGTTTTCAGTACAATATTCCGACCCAAAAAGTGGGCACCGAGTTGAGCTATATTAATTCGACAAGACCGCAAGAAAGGCTCACACTCGATTTCTACGGCCCGCTGCCCTATACCCCGGAAGGATTTTGGTACGCGATAGTCGCAGTCGACCATTTCAGCAAATTTATGTTTGCGCGCCCAGTGTTAAAAGCCGATGTGACAATGGTAATACCTTTTATTTCGGAAATTTTTCAGCAAACCGGGGAATTCGAAACAGTCCATACGGATTGTGACTCAGTATTTAGAAGTAACACGTTTCGACTCTTTTTACGAGGGCTCGGCATCAATCAACATGTCGCGCAAGCCACTCACCCGGAAGGGAACGGATGCTGCAAACAAGCAATCCGGTCCTTGATACAACTGCAGTCAAAACCTACCAAGGGAAAAGAAGATCAATGGGAACGCCACTTACAAGAGTCAGTCAGGGCCTACAACATCACGCCTCATGCGACAACCAATCAAACCCCCACCGAAGTAATGTTTGGATTACCCCCCTGCCTAAATGCCGACGATCAGTTCCAGGTACCAGACTTAACTCCGGAAAAGCAACCACCGTGGCCAACCGCAGAAAGCATGAAAGCCAGGGAAGAAGTCACCAACCAGGCAAACAAGCAGAGAAATCGACACTTCCGGCCAGGGGAAATGGTGGCAATTTGCCCACATCTCCCAACAGTGAATACTCACGTGGCAAATCGGCGATTTCGTGTTCAGAAGTTGGGTCCTTATATGGTCCTTTCTTATCAAGGAAACGGCGAGTATCGCGTCGGCGCGGGCCCAGACATTATTAGAGCCAACGCTTGGGAAATGATTCCGTATTGCGGACTCCCGCGAGAACCGTCAAATTCTTATCGTACCCTGAGCCAAATAACGGAACCGGAGCAAACCCCAAAAATAGCTCCGCCGGACCATATTTAAGCGAAAGACCCGGGTCTGCGCCCGCCTGATATAGTAATCAATATGAACAGTGACCATCCTTATCATCAGCCAGCAGCGTGGTGCCCAAATCAGCAATCGGTCGAAACAGAGCATCGTTATTTTCGAAGAAAAAGAACGGGTCGACGACGCGCGAGTCGAAAACAAAAATTATCTCGAAAAACCCCTTTTTTTTCTTTGGGGGGGGGGAGAGTAAGGCATTACGATGACTTACAAGAGCGACATCTGGTTATATTTAGGTTTTACGAGTCACTCTTCCCAACTGCTTAGTTACACCTATCTCTAGATCAGCAGCACGATGGAGAGGAGCGACTGAGAGCAGTACAAGGAAGTCATTCTGTTCTTGGACCTCGACTTGTACAGTCCTTCTGACCTTTTAACTCTGACTTAGTGTTGTGTTGTGACGTCGTTGAAATAAACTTGTACTTCAAGCCGTGATCGAAGATTTATTCCCCAAAACTCTTACTATAGTGCCACAAATTTCCCTGGAACAATTCTCCATTTTTTCTTACAGTGAAACCCTTACTGTCACTAAAAATGCCCGTCCTAAATGAAAAATAGGCCAAAATCAGAGAAATTAGGGCATATATCTTGAAATATTATCAGGCTATTACTGAGAATCCTATGCCTAAAGCTCAGGCGTTTGGGCAGGAATGATCAACAGATTGACCAGAACAGGTCCCAGCCCCAAAGAGATGTTGTTTAGAATGATCCATAGCACAAAAATTCATCCCTTTTATACTGGGGTTGCTACCTTTCCCATGAGGATGTCAGACACAGCAAGGATGAAGAGAGATATTTAATTTGGTCTAATCCCCCATTAGGACTATAGAATCCAAGGACCAGCATGATCCAAGGACTCAAGGGAAAAAAGGGGTGAAAGGAGACCCCTTCTTTCACCCCTTCTCTCCCAGCCTTGAGTCCATGGATCATGAAACCCAGTATAAAAGGGATGGATTTTCTTGCTAAAGATCATTCCACTCCAAATCTTTCTGGGGCTGGGACCTGCTGGTTTCAGGACTGTGTTTCATACCACAGCCTGGACCCTGGAAGCTATCATCCCTTCACCTGCTGGTCATGCTGTTCTTTATGGACCTTATGATTCTTTTATTTGCTGTATTGGGTCATGTAACTGATTGTTGTTCATTCCTGCCCAAACGCCTGAGCTTTAGGCATAGGATTCTCAGTAATAGCCTGATAATATTTCAAGATATATGCCCTAATTTCTCTGATTTTGGCCTATTTTTCATTTAGGACGGGCATTTTTAGTGACAGTAAGGGTTTCACTGTAAGAAAAAATGGAGAATTGTTCCAGGGAAATTTGTGGCACTATAGTAAGAGTTTTGGGGAATAAATCTTCGATCACGGCTTGAAGTACAAGTTTATNAACGTGGTTTTTTAGATTAATTTTTTAATCTACTATAATTATTCTAGATTATTTTCAAAAACCTGTTCAAAGGAATATCCAGAACAAAATTTAGTTTTTATCAATGATGGAATTCAATGAACTATCAAGAATTATCAATGCAGGAAACAAACCTCTTTTAGAAAATCAGAACTTTCAGAAGAACAAAACTTCTTCAGAATTGGAAAACAAACTAAATTTGTTTTCCCACTACAAAAAATTTTACTGGAGGATTGCTAAAAAAACCCTAAAAGTTGAAGGAAGGATTGCAATTTTGAGGGAATTGCTTTTGGCACAATTGCAAGTGGAAAAAAAATTGAACACACAATCAAAATCACAAGTTTTTTTGGGGTATTTTCAAATGCACAATCAAAATTGCAAGCTTTGTGATTTTGATTGTGCTTGCAATTGTGCGGGATTGTGGCACAATTAACAACCCTGCTGTTAAGCCTGTAAAGGCAATTCCACTATCTCTCCTACAGAATCAGAAGGGCAATACAATGTTTTTGTTGTTTGAAAAAACATGGCCATGGCCAATGTGCTGGAAAAACGTGCTGTAAGGTGGACCACTGTTCCTTGTGGCACCATCCTTTGATTCAAGGCACAAAAACCATGACGCAACGTTATGCTACAACTTCCACTCAATGCAGCTCCATTCAACACTACCTCTTTCACGCCACCCCTAGGAGCACCAGCCTCTCATTGAGTGACTTCAACTGCAGCGAGATTCATTTGGTCCTTGACTTTTGACGCAATCACTAATGAGGTTTAATAAGAGTCCCTGGCCAGCGTCACTTCAAAAGGAGCATTTAATTCTCAAATTCCAACTCCATAACCCGAGATTCCCGCAACACTATACCGCATTACACTCTTCACAATGTCAGGTCAAAATATAAGGGAAGTGATCGCGTCGAAAGTCTAAGGACTACATGTACAATATCTCACTGGGCGCTATTGAGCTTTAGTGATGTCAGCTAGATGGTGACCGGACATTACGGAACACTTTCAAACTCGACGCAACTCACTTCTACGCTGCCCCTCCAGAGGGCTGTTCCCTACCACTCCATGCCTCAATGCCAAAAATGAGTGACTTCATAAACTGCGCATGCTTGCAGATACGAATTACATGTTGAAGAATTGTGTTGGAGTAGGAAGATAACGTAATATTCAATACAGTACTTTCCTGTTATCTCTGTACCTCAATCCTAGACTGCACTACCATCCAGACAAATCTTCAGGACAAGTTCATAATCACAAGAACCCACCAGAAACTGTGAATTTTATTTTCTGCATTCTGCTGAAACTGATTTTGGGAGGTGGTTAGGTAAAGTTTGGTTAGGTCAGGTTATGTTAGTTACAAATATATTTCAATTAACATAACCTGACCTAACCTAACTTTACCTAACTGACTCCTAAATATCAAATATCTTTAATTAACATAACCTGACCTAACCTAACTTTACCTAACCACCTCCCAAATATCTTTTAATTAACATAACCTGACCTAACCTAACTTTACCTAACCACCTCCCAAATATCTTTTAATTAACATAACCTGACCTAACCTAATTTTACCTAACCGCCTCCCAAAATCATTTTCAGCAGAATGCAAAGAAATAAAATTCACATCTGTTGTGTTTATGAATTTGTCCTAAAGATTTGTCTGGATGGTATAGTGTGGTCTATGAATGAGGTACAGAGATAACAGGAAAGTACCATATATTTTATTTATTTGAAAAAGGTGTTTTTATATGTGCACTATGTTATTTGTCCCTCAGAGTCTCTGTTTACATTTTACACCACCAAAGCATTGCAGTCGAAGTCACTCAATGAGAGGCTGGCGCTCCTAGGGGTGGCGTGGAAGAGGTAGCGTTGAATGAAGCTGCGCTGAGTGGAAGTTGTACCATAACGTCGCGTCACGCAGCTAGATATCAGCTTTTATCTCACTATCGTTTCTAGCACGCGGCCATTTTTTTACTCCTGCTGCCATCTATGTTTAATGAGCTTTCCTACAGTTCCCAATCCCTGGCAAAGAGTGACTTCAAAGCGGCGGCTTGTGGCTCTAAAGCTCAATAGCACCTATTGAGCTCCAAATAGTAAGGTTAATAAATGAGTCTTCGTCCAGCGTTGCGAATCAAGCAGAGTTTTTATCAAGTCCTACTCCGCACATGACACGAACACAATCACACTCAAAAAGTCAGGTCATAAAACTAGAACCTTCTTCATCAAGAGTCAAAATCGAACTGAATATCTCTGGACAGGAACTTCGTCGCGTCTCCTCCGATCAAGATAAGCATCTCACTTGGGATACTTCCGGGTGGGTGATGCGAATGCATGGAAAGAGTGTCAAGTAATTGGGGTAGATGTCCCGCTTAAGGGTTCCGATAGGAGGCCCTTACCAAATACTCCAGGTAGGCAAAATCGTTGGGCGCAGTAACCTTCCGGTTACTGGGCTCAAATGCATGCCTAGTCATCAGTAACAACAATCAGTATTTAAATTACAAGCGAATTCCACGGACAAATCACACTTCACACGGCAGTCATGTGAGTGAATCCACGGTGTACGTAATTGAAATGCTTGATCATTGTTGTAGATGCGATTGTATGGCAGCATCCGAACCTGTCTGCCTTTCCGGTGTGGCAGGGGGTTTTCCCCTTGACGTTCGGACGTGATGATCCATACCTTCGTGTGGGCACTATACCGTGTAAACCTAGTTCAACTTCGTATTTTATGTCCGTAGGTCAATCGATTCCTTTGCAATCATTTTTTTTTTCTCACCTATTTTTTCTGCTATTTTTTTTTTTATTAGACCCAGACTTAGAAGGATATTATTCTGTTCTAATAGAATGGCTTGATTCACTGCCATCTTACCGCATGCATGTATCGATATAATATTGTAATGAGGGAATTCGGCAATTGATTTAATTGAAAACATTGCCAGAAACCAGGAGTCTTTCGTTGATAATTCAGACGTGAATTTTGTTCCACGGAAGCCCGCTTCGAAGGAGGTTCTGTGGGCATGCTGAAGAGTCTGCCTCCAGATTTTTTTCTCATTATCGTCGTTGATGCAATAGACCAGGTTCGTAATGGAACGCTTTTCTTTTTGCCATAGTCTTATGATTTCGTGATTGCTTCCAGGTTGAAAAAGTGATCCGTTCGATTGGCTGCCCGTCGATAATTTACCGAGCAACATCAAAATCATCGTTTCTATGGACAACGCATCAGAATACCTGCCGAAAATCAAAGACATTTTGCCAAAAAGTTCCTTGTTTTCGGTGAGTTTTTTGGAAAGACTTCTTTCCTCTTATTTGCTGCAAAAGCCTTCATTTGTTTTCTCTCGACAGTTGGAAAATCTCGCTCTGAATGATTTGATGAGTGTTGCCAAAGAGAATATGGCTGCTCAGCATCACTATTTACCGAATGCCAATGAGCTCGAACAAATCCGCAAATGCCTGTCGTCCGTACAGTCCTTATGTGGAGTCCAGGTACTCAACCCTTTTTGTTCAAAGTGTCTGTAAAGTTGTCATTTATTTATTTTTTGTGGAAATCTCCGCAGTTTTACTGTAAGTTAGGGAAGCGTGCGAAAGGACTCTCCGAAGTCTGTGTTAGAAGATGCTTTATAAGTTTGAAAACAGCTGCTTGCAACAGAAATAAGGTGGCGAATTTTGTCCTTATTCTCTCAAACTTGTCGCCCAAAACCCTATTTAACCCAGCGTTGACTGCAGCGATGCTATCCTCTAAAAAAGGAAAGTTGTCGTAAAACTAGATTTGAAAATTACAGCCGTTGACATCGACTCTGCATGTGTAGAACGGCATGTGTCATGATAAAGATTTCAGTAAAATTTCTGGAATGTAACGAATTTGTCTATCACCTCCAAAAGTCTTGTATACCCCCTATATTTCTCTGAATGGGGAAACTTATTCCTCATTTCCGCTCTAGTTGTTGACGTAGTTGTGTCATACAGCAGTACTGTAGGGAAAACCGTAACACTTCGCAGGTCAGATGCTCCTGGCAATTTTGAACCAAACAAGCAGCATGATGTGACAAAAGGAACTGAATGAGGCACAAATGCTGATTACATTTTTTAATTACAATGGTTTTCTTCGTAATTCTGACGAATTGTTCCCAGGCTATAGCCAACACCTTATGGATGCAATTCTGGCAATCTTGTCTTGTGTCAATATTTCTCAATTCACTACAAGAAATTTATTCTCAAAAAATATTTTCTGCTTTCTCTTTCACTGATTTCCTTCTGTACTTCTTCTAAGACGATGGACTCACGCGGTTGGATCTGTGCAGCCGGATTTCAGTAGCGGACGATGAACTCGTTTTCCAACGTTTTATCGTCCAGCGCGGCATGCATGCATTGACAGTATCGGCGATGAGTCTACTCCTTGTGAGGATGAAACGCGAAGCTCTATATCGTCGTGGTACCAATCTCCTTCTTGAAATGAAACTTCCTCTGAACTATCGGTAAGATCTTGTTTGTTTACGACAAGAATCGAATTTCATTTTACGTGGCATCTATTTTGTGTTTTTGCAAAAATGCTCACCGTAATTTCAACGTGCTGTATTTTCATTCGCCATGTAGCTACACTAAAATGCGGAACGAGTTCGCGCCGGACGTGGAGAAAAGAACCCGCGTGCGACAAGCGTATCTCAAGTCAGTTTCGAGGGAAGCAGAAATCTCGCTGAGACTCATGCCTGAAATGCAAACTCATCTTGAAGGCATTCTCAAAGCAGTGTGATTTTTTTTTTTTCATCCTTTGAAGGAGTGTCTGTGGCAAAAGTGAGCAATGCGCGGTACGACTCGAACAGTCGCAATGTTTTCTTTCAGGAAGACTTGAAGAACTCTGTGGAAATGGGCAAAATTCTGGATCACTTCGAGTTACTTCTCTCCAAGGGTTTTCTTCCTTCCTCTTGTACATGAATCGTTTGTTGACTTCCTCAAGTTTCAGGGCGGCTTGAAGTTTTGCTATTG